CTTGAAGTAGTTTTTTATAGTTTTCTTTGTATAGGTCTTTTGTGTCCCTGGTAAGATTTATTCCCAAGTATTTTATTTTATTTTATTTGTAACTATTGTAAATGGTATTTATTTCCTTATTTCTTTTTCAGCAATCTCTTTGCTGGTGTAGAAAAATCCAACTGATTTTTGGATGTTGATCTTCTATCCTGCCATGATGCTAAATCTCTCAATTAGTTCCAGTAGATTTTTGACTGAATCTCTTGGGTTTTCTAGGTAAAGGATCATATCATCAGCACATAGGAATAGTTTTACTTTTTCCTTACCAATTTGGATGCCTTTGATTTCTTTTTCTTGCCTTATTTCCCTGGATAGGACTTCCAGTACAATGTTGAATAGAAGTTGTGATAGAGGACATCCTTGTCTGGTTCCTGTTCGCAAAGGGAATGGTTTCAGTCTCTCTCCATTGAGAATAATGTTGGCTGTTGGTTTTGCATAGATGCCCTTTATTATGTTGAGGAATACAAGACATATTTTTGCAGTGATTAGGTTTTGGACCCACCCTACTCTGATATGATATCATTAACATAACAGGGGAAAAACACCTCTATTTCCAAACAGGATCATATTTATAGTTATAGGGTTTAGGACTTCAACTTCTATTTGTTGTTGTTGTTCTTATGTGCCATCAAGTTGGACCCAACTCATAGTGACCACTCCTTAGGTTTCCAAGGCAGTGTCACTATGGAAGTAGATCGCCCAACCTTCCTTCCGAGGAGTGGCTGCTGGGTTTGAACCACCAGCCTTCTGGTTAACAGTCAAGTGCCTTAGGCACTATGCTACCAGAGCTGCTAACATCTATTTGTTGTTGTTGTTGTTATGTGCCCTTGAGTCAGACCCGACTCATACCGATTCCTCGATCCTTGTTGGGTTTCTGAGGCGGTATCACTACAAAAGTAGTTTCCCAACCTTCCTTCCGAGGAGTGGCTGGTGGGTTTGAATCACCAGCCTCCTGGTTAGCTGTCAAGTGCCTTAGGCACTATGCTACCAGAGCTCCCAACATCTATTTAGGGAAGATATCTTTCAATCTGTAGCATCATCCAATGATCTGAAACTCTTCTTGAAGTTTGTTATGTCTTTGTTTCAGCCTTGGTATGTGACATTTGTAGGAACAGGAGTGACTCTGAGGACACATAGGGGAAATGGATGTGATGCTTAAGAAATTATCTGTACTTTGACTTATACTGTAACCCCTACGCTGCTTCCCTGCACAACAAGATATTCATCAGTTTAACAATTTCTACGTGTATAATTCAATGACAGCAGGCATTTGCCTGTTAACCAGAAGGCTGGTAGTTCAAACCTACCAGACACTGCTTGGAAGGAAAGTTGGGCAATCTACTTCCATAGTGATATACTGCTCAGAAACCCAAGAAGGGGCCACTATGAGTCGGATCTGACTCCTCAGCAGTGAGTTTGTTTTTTAATTCAATGACATTGATTACATTCTTCATTATCAACCATTATCATTATCTTTTTCCAAAGTATTCCACCACCATTAACATAAACTCAATGTCTCCTATGGAAAAAAATCCTCCTTTTCCTCTACCTCCACCCCTGGTAACCCCTAATAATTGTTGATTTTTCATATAGTTGCATATGGACACAACACAAATAATACTTCTCTACTGTTAAAAGTCACAGTGCTGGTCTATAATGATTGATAGGTGATACATGGGCTCCAGTGGGGTTACAGGGTGCAGTGAGGTCAGTGGTAAGGAGTTGCTGCAGACCTGGCTCAGCTTGTCGTTGTGTGGGAAGACCAGCCCAAGATAGTCTCATCTTTTGGTTTTTCAAGAGCAGCTAGAAAAAATAATAATTATTATGGGAAATCCCCACTTTTGTATGTGGGACAGGAAAAACAAAGATGGGAAGAAAACTCACCATAGGAGCCAAATTAAACACATTAGGGAGCCTGTTTGTGCATGTTGGACTACCAGCTTGTCTCCTGTGCCCTATCTCCTTAAGGAGCCTTATAGGGTCAGGTCTGGGAGGATTTGCCTGTGGGGTCCCCTAGACAACACCTTACTGTGGATATTGAAGCCTGTCTGCTGACACTTCTCCCAATTGGACTCAGACTCAGCACCAACACCTCCAGGCAAATCTTTTTCTGGTTTTCACTTTGATTTCCAGATTTTCCTTTAGGAAGAGGATTGAGATATCTTCTAGTTAAAATAAAAGTCAGGAATAATTTTAAAAAATAAATAAATAAAGGAAAGAAAGAAAGAAAAAAAATGAAAAACATTGTCACAAAGGGCCCTAGGGATGACAGCTTTGTGTAAACTGTGAGTAAAACCCAAACCTGTCACTGTTAAGTTGATTCTGAACTCATGGCGACCCCATGTGCTACATGGTAAAACTGCTCTGTAGGATTTTCTTAGCTGCAACCTTTATGGAAGTAGATTGCCAGGACTTTTCTTCTATGATACTGTGGATGGGTTCAAACTGCCAACTTTTAGGTTAGCAGCCTATTGCAAACCACCTGGGCCACCCGATGATCTTACACTTTAGGTAGAAGCATTTTAAATCTGGACTTCAAGGGGACAATAAAGTTCTAAAATTGCCTGCAGAATTGAATGTGTGGGAAGTTGTCCCTGGTTTTCATCAGCTTCTCCCTGGGGTCCATGTCCCCAAACTGGAAAGACTGCACCTGTTGGCTGCACCAGTTCCTCTTCTGATAGGCCTCCACTGGGGCTGCAGTTCCACATTACAACCCCAATACTGCTGGCTGTTCTTGAGCAAGGAGTATGGGAAGAGGCAATCCAGAACAGGCTGCCCTACTCCAGGACACAATGACCCGTTTCTGAGCCAGTCAAACTTATCAATGTCCTCTGTGCACCCAGGGTGGAACTTAAAAATGATGTGAGGGTAGGTCTGTGTGACCCTGTGGTATAGGCAGTTCCAGGTTCCTTGAGGTGGCACTTTGTGGCTGCCAGCCAACTATTTCCTTTAAGTTGGTGATGGTCAGAATAAGGGCTCCCCGGGCCTGGTGAAGGGGACCCTAGATATCTGGAGGATGGGATGCTCCTGCACGGAGCTGGTATTGGGGAGGCTGGGTGTCTTTTCCCTTTTAACAGGCCTTGCTCTTGTCTCAATAACAGGGTTCCTGTACCTGTGGGTTATGATGAAAGCAAGTGCAAGAAAATCTTCAACAAGGAGGCCTGCAGCTATACTGTGGTGGAGCAGAATAACCCAGAAAAAACCTGTACTGTCACTGAATGGATAATGTAATGTATTTCTAGTGGGCCCAGGACTTCCATCTGATGGGGCCCAGGCCCTCCCTGGCTGGACCTTATTCTCCTGTGCCCTCCAAAAGTCTGGGATTGTGTAGCTCTACCTATTAGTAAAAGATTTTTCTGAGCAAGCACTTGCCTATGTGTGTACTTTTAATTTATAAATTTTATATGGAATAATACACTGCACATATAATACATTATAAAAGTCATTAACTTTTCCAGTCCATCCTGGATAATAAAAACAGTGCTCTGGTCACTTTTAATTACAAAAATACCTCATTCCTGAGTCTGCACCTGAACTGAGGCCATAGGAGGAGATGCAAACTTTTAAAGGAGGAGACAAAAATAAATATGAGTCCAAGTTGCAATATTTTTCTTACACCCCAGTCACACACCCCCTTCTCAAGAAACCACTGTGGTTTTTGCTGCTTCTGCTACTTCTGCTGCTTCTGATATGCCTGCACTCTGCTGCCTTGGGGTCCTGCTATGTGGTGAAAACTTCAAGAAATAAATAAGCCTTCCAAAGGACATCCATTCTTTTTTTGAAGTGTTTGTGCTTATCCTGTCTTCTTCTTCAGTGTGTGTCCTCCATGCTGTGTCCCCACATATCTCTGTGTCTGCCTGAGGTTAGAGCAGATTAGAGCAAGAGAGCCTGGAAAAAGTGCGCCCAAGATCACATACAGCACACAAGAAAACAGAAAATAACAAATGCTGGTGAGGATATGGAGAGATTGGGACTCTCATATACTGCTGGTGGGACTGTAAAATGATACAACCACTGTGGAAAGCAGTATGGCTATTCCTTAAAAATTTGGAATTAGAAATACCATTTGATCCAGCAATTCCATTGTTGTTGTTGTTGTTGTTATGTGCCGTCAAGTCGGACCCGACTCATAATGACCCCTCCTTGGGTTTCTGAGGCGGTATCACTACGGAAGCAGATTGCTCAACCTTCCTTCCGAGGAGAGGCTGGTAGGTCTGAACCACCAGCCTTCTGATTAGCAGTTAAGTGCCTTGGGCACTACACTACCAGAACTCCTGCAATCCCATTAGTAGGTATACATCCCAAATTAGAGCAAGGACAAGAACAGATATATACACATACATGTTCATCACAGCACTATTTACAACAGCAAAAAGATGGAAACCACCTAGGTGCCCATCAACATCAACAGAAGAATGAATAATCAAACTATTGTACATACAACGGAATACTACGCAACAGTAAACAATAATGTAGATTCTGCAAAACACCACATAACGTGGATGGACTTGGAGGACATTATGCTGAGTGAAATAAGTTAATCACAAAAAGACAAATACAGTATTAGTTCATTATTGTAAAAAGTCAGGGAAAGGTTTACATAAGGAAGGAAACTTTCTTTGTTGGTTACCAGGGGTGGGAGGGGAGGGAGGGAATACTGCTAAAAAAAAAAAAAAAAAAAAAGATCCCATGTGGCACAACAGGGAATTAACAGGCCAAGGATTTTTGTCTTGTTGGTGGGAAACTATTGGGTGTAGTGCTTCAGTATCTGCTATTTTTGCTGCTATTCTAAAACTTAATGACTTAAACTGTGATAAGATTATCTCTTGATGTTTCTGTGTTAGAGAACATTTGTTCACACAACAGGTGAGTAAATCAGTTGACTGAGTGGCTGTCTGGCCCAGGCAGTGCTATTGACCTGGAGATACAGTGAAGCAAAGAGGGTAGGACCCTGTTTCCCTGGGGCTTACAGTCTTGTTGATGTGTGTGTGTGTGTACATGTATATGACAGATAACAAGCAAATGGTTATGTGGTAAACAATCACTGGGCAACTGGGAAACAGTTTTATTTCTCTCATGCCTCCTAACCCTACCTGTTCAGTCTTGCTCTGTGGACTAGTTCTCCACCTACGCGGGGTGTGGAGAACTGCATGGGGTGATATAGTGCTAACTAGCGTATCCTTTGGAGTCAGAATGGTATGGGTTGGGTTCTTGGCTCAGATATTTATTTTTGCATCTGTAAGTTACAGCCAAATAATATCTACCTTGTGAGGTCATTAACTTTTCAGTCAATCCCAGAACAAAAAAAAAGTGCTCTGGTAACTTTTAATTATAAAAATATCTTATTCCTGAGTCTGCATTTGAACTGAGGCCATAGGAGGAGAGGAGAGTTAAGGGTGGGAAGAATTTACCTCAGTGGCAATGATGCAGAATTGGATACCTCTGCCTGTGGCAGGTGTTTAAAGCCATTTCCTAATGAGTGTCTGCGACATTTCCCTGCTGGATTTCTTTTTCCACAGTTCCCCTTCCAACTGCCAGCTAAGACTTGTCCTCTTGGCATCCACATCCCATTCTATGTCTCCTGTCTCTTTCTGCTGAGGTTGCCTTGTAGGAGTCGCCTTTGTGGGGTTCATAAACACTATCATGAGCAACTTCTTTGCAAATCCTACTTTGATGGGCCTTTACCTTGCTGGGATATCTAGGGTGCAGTTGACACTGTGCATCGGGGACTTTGGTCAAAACAGAGTCCTGTTTAACATGTGGTCACAAATAAATAAACAAAATTTAAATGTGTATGATGCCATATTTGGTAGAATGGCCAGGGAGTAGCAGGATGGGGTACGGTGTACGGAGAACTGCATGAGGTGATAGGGTACAAATCCGTGTATGCTTTGGAGTTGGAATGATGTCCGTTGTCATCTGGGCTCTGACATTTTATTTTTGCATCTGGAAGATCAAATAATATCTACCTTGTGAGGTTATTTGGTGTTAGAGAATAACTTAAGATAGTTCTCGGCACAAAGTCTAACTTCAATAAATGTTTATTTAATTTAATTTGATGTATTCACGAGGACTGAAATGACACTGAGTACAGCCCAGGAAGGGGAGTGCTTCTGCTCTCCGTGCCCTCTAGAGGGCAGTCAAGACCTTTCGGCTGACTTGAGTAGAGATCTCGCGACACTGTCAGACAAGCGGCGAGAGGAGTGAGAGGAAAGGTGTGTTCTCGTGAGAACGCTGCCTTGGGAGCTTGGCTTGGGTCGGGTGGTGTTTCTGTGCACCCCACATCCTATCGGTTCTACTGGAGCGACGCTCGGAGCCGGTAAGAACGCGAGCGGTCGGCAGGGAAGGTGCTGCTCTTCCCGCTATTATGTCGCGGGCCAGTCCGGGGGCGGAGAACGTTGTGACCGCCTGCCCTCTGGGTCCGGGCCTGGCCTCTGCTGCCAGCTCTCCTTTACACGCCTAGCCCGGGGTGTACCTCCGCACGCCTACCAGGCTAGTCTTGGCTCGTGTGTGACAGCTTGGAGATAATGCTCGTTCTAGCATCTCGCCGGGACCTCTGAGGCGGGCCGGGGCCGGAGGAAACCAAAGAAGCTAGTGTTGGCCTGCTTTGTGGCGGATCCAGCGTTACATACCATCGCATTTAATTCTCCAATGATCCCGAGAGATCGTTTAATTATTTCCGTTTTACAGAGGAGAAGAGCGAGATATGTTTATTGATTCATCCCACAATAGTCATTTTCAGTGCCTGATATGTTCAAAGAGCCAGTGGTGTTGGGATTTAAAAAAAAAAAAAAAGTCCGAACTCTTAATGAGGTAAATTCTCCTGTTAGGTACAACAGTAATTTAAACAGAGTAGTTTTAATTGCTGTGTGCATAAGCATGGGATGATTTAATCAAGAATGTCTTGGCAACAGAGTACTTGAGTCTTTCTGATCCCAAGGGCAGTGCTTTTTCACCACACCATTTTGTGTTTTCCACTAAGACTTACCCAGATGTTGCCATGGGAGGCTCTCTGGAGGAAGATTTACTTGCTACCTTTAGACTTAGATGACTCATTTTGCTTTTATGCAGGGTTGCTGTTTTGCAGATTTGATAAAATAGATAAATGAGAGGATATGTGTAACATCCAGTACTGTGACAATCCTTACATTTTTACTACTTCCCCTTTTTCCATTAAAATTTTACGGTAGTTTGTATCTAAATAAATTGTGCCGTTACAGTGTTACATTCGGCTACCGGGTATTTAAAAAGTGGGAAAGCACATTGAGCTATGTAAGGAAAGGAAGATGTGATTCTCCAAGGTGGGAGGAGGTATCATATTTTAGAATTACCTAAGAGCTCAGCTGCTAACAGAAAGGTTGGCAGTTTGAACCTACCCTGTGGCTCCAAGGGAGAAAGGCCTTAATGATCTGCTCTGATAAAGATTACAGCCTAGAAAACCCTATAGGGAGTTCTGTTCTGTCAAAGGGGGTCAGTATGAGTCAGAATCTACCTGACAGCACCAGATGACAACAGCTGTGCTAGAATCTCAGGAACCTGTGTAGTGGTTTCATAAAGCTCATAGAATATTCTGACATGTATTCCTCCTCCCATTTGAATGTAGTGCCTCGGATGAGTTTGATTTTTTTGTTTGGTTAGTGTTTAGAAGTTCTGGTGGTGCAGTGGTAAAGGCATTTGGCTGTTAACCAAATGGTCAGCGGTTTGAACCCACCGCATGCTCCAAGGGAGAAAGAGGACGCAGTTTGCTTCTATAAGATTTACAGCCTTGGAAACCCTATGGGGGCAGTTCTGTTCTTTTCTGTAGGGTTGCTGTGAGTCAGAATCTACTCGGTGGCAGTAAGTTTGAGGTTTCTTTTTTTGGGGGGGGGCCTCTGGTTGGTGTTTTATAATAATTTCCTTCCTATAATAGGTATTAGTGTATTAGAAGATATTCAGAGCCACTTGGTTTTGCTGCTGATGGATGGATGGACTTTTAGTCTGTATTTTCTGCTGAGTTTTTGGTGAGTCAGTGACACAAATTCTCCTGTAGGTGGCAAGTTTACCATTGTATCCTCACATTATGTGTATTTTAGACAATGTTTGTTGAATGACTGCATAAAATCTTAATACCCAAACAATCTCTTCAACATTCATTATATGGTTGTGGATTTTAGACTTAGACCTGGGATTATGTCTTGTTTCTTTTTAAAATGGTGGTGATAATACTCATCTTAAGATTTTTGAAGACTAAA